AGTAAGTTTTATGGAGAAGAGTAATCGATCTCTCTTAGGATTTGATTGGCAGAGCATTTAAAAGAGCATTATGCCTTTTATCATTAAAACTGGATTGGTTGACAAAGCATTAAGTAGAGCATTTACTAAATGTCAATGCTCTCAAAATGCTCTCAAAGTTTTTCCAGAGCATTGACCTCTAAATTTTTTTACAAAAATTAAAATTATATAACTAATTTATTTTAAATTACATCAAAAATAAATTTTAATAAATTTTAATTATTTAAATTCATATTTATCATTATTTTATTTATTCTGTTATTTTAAGATAATTTTATGATATAATATTHAWTYAATTAAATATAATTTAAATTCGAAMAAATTATAAAAKAAWTTTATGATATAATTTATAAATATAATATATACAATCATTTCAATAAAAATAAATATACATAATTTTTGTAATTATAAAACATATATATATACTGTATATATTAATATTTATCAATTTTTTATATGTTCTATCATTTTTAAAAATAAATTTTAATAAAAATAGAACTTAAATATTAAAATTTCTATTTTATAAATATATTTATATTTGTCTTAAAATGAAAATTTAATATATACCATTAATTAGTTTGTCATATTATTTATTAACTAGTATTATAATAAAATAATAATTTAATAAAAATCTAAAAATTGATGTTATAACTTATTACTAATATATATGTATATATTGTATTAGAATACATATAAATAAGTAAAATAACAAAATTTATTTTAATTTTATATCTAATCATTCATAGCTTTACCAATCACTTAAAATGTGCATATTAATCATAGCATACTGCTCCAGCTGCTTACTGCTAATGCTGCTTTATGCTCCTGCTCATCAAAAAGCTATACCAATCAAGGTTATGGCTTTAAAAGAGTACTTAATTGGGCTCTTCTGCCTTTATGGCCCATTACTTTCTTAGTCTCCATGGCCGGTTTATTTATTATTAAGGACAAAATTATGGTTTAAATTTTGATTCAAAATCTCAAAATTATGACTTAAACTTTCTTAATCGGATTTTCATATCAAACCGATTTTTGGCCAATTTTACTTGTTTAACTCAAATATGAGTTTGATTCAATCCAGACTCGGCTAACTAGACGATTCCTTGTTGAACCGGTTCGGTCTGGTTTTCAAAACACTACTGAGCGCGAATGTATATCTATCTCCTTTAGATTAGGCTTGGGCATTAATACTCGTTACTCGGCTTCTACTCGCTACTCACCTCGTACACGGCTTGAAAAAGCAAGTATTTGTCCTGGTCAAGTCGAGTAACAAGTCAACATATTACATTATTTGCAAGTCCGGGTCAAGTATCAAGTTAGTAAAAAAATTTTACTACTTGACCCTTTATTCGGCTTAATACTCGTTTATATTACTTGGCTTGATACTCGTTAATAATATTCGTAAAAAAAATATTTAATACTCGTTTATATTACTTGATACTCATTAGTTAAGCTCTTTGACATTTGACAGCATAACCAAACCAAGTCATTTTTAGGTTTACATGTGTATGTCTTATGATCATTTTTATATTTGTTATGTTGGTTTAATGGGTTTGTAGGTAAAAAAAAAAAAGGATGACTAATATGATGTTGAGCATTGAACCAAAAACTTGTTTTTTTTAAATACTTATCTTTTTGAGTTTTAATGTTTTGTGATTCTAGGATATTTGAACTTTGAATGTCTTATAATTTGTATGGAGATTATTTTTTAGATTTAAATACTTTCAAGTAGCAAGTATATAATTTTAGCAAGTAACAAGGCGAGTCATGTTACTTGCAAGTAATAGGATTTTGGACGAGTACTTGATATAGCAAGTACTTGCTTCGGACGAGTCAAGTATCAAGCCAAAGTTTATGTTACTTTAACAAGCCAAGCCGCCGGGTCACAAGTATTTAAAAATTAGCAAGTACTCGACTTCTGGCCTACTTTAGATGTCAAGTGAGACGTCTTTATCTGGATCATATGCATTATTTGATCCTTCATTAGAAAACGACTGTCTGTAACTTTGTCATAGATTGTACCGAGTTGATCACTATGATGGCTAACCCCTACAAGTGGCTGGCGTTCGCAATTCATCATGAAGACTAGAAGCGGAATAAGACGGCCTTCAGAAAAATTCTCCTTATTGTACATCCCTCGTCGTGGTAATGCAAAGACAGATAACTTAGCTCGTGGTGCTCGCAGCTATTTAATCTAATACTAATTAACCTTTGAGCCACATTTTAAAATAAATTGCAAACCAAATGAAAACGAAGAACTTAAAATTTCAAGCCTATAGCAGATAAAAGCAAAGAAATACCAAACCTTATTAAAGCAGCCAACTTCAACGGTGAAAATAAAGGTATAACGAGTGAAGAGGAATGAGTAAACCTGGCAAAATTCGGATAAATAAAAACGTATAAATCTCTCAAAATCAGTCGGTTATCGTGTTTTGAATCGAACCAATCCGAAAACCAAAAAGGCTTTTCAAAGTACTTGTTGATTCGGTTCTTCCCAAACCGAAATCGATAAAGTTCGGTTTATTCAATTCGGTTTTTATTTGTTTCGCTTCTTTTCTTCTTCTTGTCGTCACGGAGACAAAAGTGAATGCGAATTGCTATACCGACTAGGCTCTGTTCTTCCTCCCTCGAGAACTGAAGAATAATGCCTGTGAAATGGTAGTAACCTCGAAAGCTGAAGAATGAATGATTCGTTTGATTTGATTGGTTAATCTCCCTTTCTTTGTTTCTTCGTCTTCTAGGGTTTTGTATTGGCAACCGAATCAAGGATCTACAGTGAGCAGCCAAATCCTGAACGAAGCTACGCAGTGCGTGGAGAGCATCAATGGCGTCAAGGAAGGAAGATGGAAAGCTGCTCTCAACTATTACAGACCCATCTTGCGAGGTGGTCTCCTCTAACC